CCATGCAGTAGGAGTTGTAAGCAGAAACATGAGTAACCCAGGAAAGAGCTTGAAGGTACAAGACAACGTTGACGTAACATGAGTAACCCAAGAAAGAGCTTGAAGGTACAAGACAACGTTGACGCTGATATGTCAACTACGAGCGTTACTCTTGAGAAACTGAAGTTATGTACAACTTCAGTTGGTCTTCTAGCATTAAGATAAAGGTTTTGAGTTGGGGAGGTGAAGGATATCATGTTTGAGGAAAGAGGGCGATGCAGTCAGTGTCCCAATTTCCAAGTAGGAGAATTGTTAAGAAAACTGAAGATTTGGTCCACTGCAGTTTTGGTAATGATTAAAGGTGTTAATTATGATATTAATTAGCCTTCCTTAATTATCTTCCCGCCAACTCTTCTCCAAATTTCACAATGAAAGTCAGGAATATGGAGGAGGGATATTCGCAATTAAGGTTTTCCTTAATGGGTCTGAAAGAAGATTTATAAATGTCTGTGTGTTCACAAGAAGGTGATTAAGCATGCAATTAAGCTTATGGAAGAATTAAATATCGCATAGTAGCTTCCCCCTTGTCTTGGTCGTTCGGTGCAAAGCTTACGGGGAAAAAGAAAATTGTTTTTCTTTTGTATTCTTTTTCTTCTCATGTAGCTCTCGAGTGGGCTCGGCTTAATGGGAGGGAGAGAGAGAGAGAGGAGGAGAGAGAAAATTATTTTTTTGTAATCGTTGAGCTGTTCGACGGGTGTAATCCTCGAAGTAATAAAATCCTCTGCAGCTCCGTGGGGGTAGGCAATTTGCTGAACCACGTAAAATCTGTGTTTTCGTTGTTTTTCTGTTTGTGAATTTCTTATTTCAATTTTCGTTTTATTGTCGTCATTTTTTCACAACATGAAGTGCTAAAAGTTATACTACATAAAATTAGCTCAATATACAATGAGAGAAAAAAAAGACTTAAATACTTAATCGACCAAACAATAACTTGAATAATTCAATCATATGCTTGTATATCATCCAAATTTATTTTGTCAAGGTTCATAAATATATCTCACTCTATCATATTAGCATAGCGCATTGATCCAATGATCATGCTAACTCTTGAATATCCAATCACTTAAAGAGTTACACTATCCCATAACGAAGGTAATAGCGACTTCAAAAGTAATTTTTGTTTTAACAGCAGGGTTACATCGCGCTATAATGGAGGTTACACTGCCTCCAAGCATCAATTTTCCTAATTAATTGCCTAGACATGTTCAACAGTATACAAACATTATTTAAGAGCAATCAGATAACATTTAGGAGAAGATTATTTCAATAACATCCAAGTACTACAAAATACTAACATAAGTTATGCATCATTCACAAAGTAAATATAGATAGACAATAATGGGTGCAAATTTGTCCCATTGGTAAGGGCCTTGGAGGTTATTTCTAAGGTCTAAGATTTGAATATAGTTTACACCATAATAAATCCCATCTTAAAAACTTTGAGGTGGACTTAAAAAAGAAAAGAAAATAACATGCATTTCAGAACATGAAAAGAAGTACCACCCGTAATCAGTTATAATCCCCCAACTAAGGTAGACATAAGAGATTGGAGAATTCGTCTAGGTTTATCTCGTCTGCTTAATAGAATAGTAAACTCCCTGCTTATGAAATCTAACTTTTTAGGCAAAATGGTTCATCTAATGGGGCATAACATATGTCATTCAATTCGGTATGCTAAGGTCGTTATCTCATATACGACATACGACACTCTCCAATAGCACAACTTTATTCCACTATCAACATTAGAGAGGATTGTCTTGTAGAAGACAATATATAAGAGCGTTACTTACCAATATCTCCACGATCATTATCAAAGAAGACTGGTCCTAGAAGATAATGTATGATATGGGCCATTAAAAAATTAAATTCTCTCATAAAAGACCACACAAAATATCAATTATGCTCGTCGAAGCTCGTGGAAACCTTCTAATGTTATTACGCAACCACCATCCATCCGGCCATACTCAATGCTGCTCACCCATGAGTTTTGGGCAAGATGCGCACTTGAATCTCATGATGGAAAACTACACTCTTAACAACTATGTTGCAGGTAAGTTTGAGCTCATCCATGAGTATAAATATTAAAAAGTACCAGTTGGAAACTGCCAAGTACCACATGATGTTTACTCAACTCCAAGCTTAGTTAAAACTACTCAGTCTGATTAGTTTATAAAACTGCATCGATTATGTCGGGTGCAAGTCAACAAATCAGTTTGTAAGTCAATCAACCAATTACTCAAACAATAAAATCAGAATATCAAAAAAAGATTTCTAGGAACTGCCACAATATCAGTGTAATTTGATGCAACAGGGGCACAATCTTCACCACATCTAGGGTTCATGCATCTACAGAAGACAACAAAGAGTGCATCTTTAACCTCAAAAACTGCAGGTAATTGGTGTATCAGCACTTGAAGGAACATTCTTGGGGAAGAATGATATAAACAACTGAAAGTGTTTCATTTTCATCGATCATCTAAATAAGAATGACTTCTCCTGTCTCTGTGTACTGACAAAGGTCAATGAAACTCCTCACAAGAACGGCATGCTAGAAGTTTCTCCAAAAAGATACTGCTCAAAGATTGAGAATTTTATGGGAGATTTTGAATCTATTTTTGGGTAGTCAATGAAAGAATAAGTAAATGATTCCTCAAGTACGGGAATCACTTTTTAAGTCAAATGGTATTTCAAGTCTCCTAAACAATGGATGATACTAACAAATGTCAAAGACCATAATGTGTGCTTTGAACATTTCAACCAGCATGAACATCTGAGGCTACGTGCCAGGAATTCTTCTTGGCAATTCATTCTCCCAAGTAGATCACCAGACGGGGATGAGGCCTAGATAGAAAGTGGTCTTTTCTTGGTGACATCTAACTTGGCCTAAACAAGAATATTCTTTTCTTGCGAGGTGTCCCTATGAGGCTGAATGTGTAGATAGACATATGAATGAATCAAATAAAATAAAAAAAATAAAGGAAAAGAAAATGAACAACTTTGCTCTCCTTGAATGCAGGACCTAAAGCAAAGCAAATCATCTGTGTTGTAGGAACTATATGAGGCATTGCCACAAATACATAGCAGAAAAAAGACTTGATTTTAGCATTTGAAAAACACGGAAAGACAAATACAGGAGGGGGTATTTTTGAGCACTGATCCAAGTCCACTATGAAGGCACATTCAAAATTGCTCCCATCTTGCTCTCATAACTCCCTCCTCAGCTCAAAGAAAGCTCTATTCAAGTTCGTTCCCTTCTACTTGAGAAGGGACTCTCTGCTCATATAGATGCTTCTCAAAAACGCTTCTAGGCAAACCTCTGAAAAATTGTCTGTCTTGTGATGATGTAAACTTCCTAAATCCAAACATTCTTTGTTATAATCATTTGCCTGGAAAGTTACAATAATATAAATGTTTGCTTGCACCATATTTGTTGCTTTCTTGACTTCTCTATATTTTTTAACTAGGTATTTGCTAGACTATTTCGGGCATAAGCTCCAAGTCTCCTCAAACTTCAACAAGGAGAACGAAGAAAATGGTTTAGCATGAAGAAAACTATGAAAACAAAAGATAGGATGATCAATGCTTTTTAATGAACAGCTCGATTTCTCACCCAGCGAGATATTGTCCGCTTTGGCCTAATGGCCTCGCGATTTTGCCCCATTGGCATAACTTCCCATGAGATCACCCATCCAAGGGGTGCTCTAGTTTGAGCACGCTTAACTTTGGAGTTTCTGATGAAACTCCAATCGTTACACCAAAATGTGCTTCAATATTTGATGTCCCCGAAATTATCTACCACAAAGCTAAGATTCTAGAGATGGCCGCTACAAATTCAAGAGGTGGCTCCCACCATGTAGCACTCTGTCTCATCTAGGAGGGTTCAAGAGATGGATCTTATGGCGTAGCACAATATTTTGTATGGCACTTAAGTCCCACGTTCAAATTAGTGTAATGCTTGGAACCATTTGTGACAGCCCGACTCACCCATCGAGAAATATTATCAACATTGGTCTAACGGCCTCACAGTTTTGTTCAATTGGGATAACGTCTTAGGAGATCATCCGTCCCAGGGGTGCTCTCATATGACCACACTTAGCATTGAAATTTCTGATGAAACTCCATCAGTTACACCAAAAGGTATCTCAATATTTAAGAGTGCAGTTTCATTTTACTCGAAGGGTTTTACATTTTAGGTCTATGAAGAGTATTGGAGCCTTTGTGCATATCTGTTAGGAAAGATGCGTTAAACCAATTAGCCCTTAAAGGATAGCTTCAATATGCATCGCAAAGGCAAGGCAGCTGCTAGAACCAAAAAAACAGTTATAAATTCATAATAAGCAGTTAAGCAGAACTTCAGAAATATCACACCCCTGTTTCAGACACAACCATAGAAGTAATGGCACCAGAAAGCATGGATCCCCAAGCAAGCTCTATAAACTTCATGCGACATGGAAGTTAACAATAGGTATGTAATTGGAGATCAATGAGAAATTTTTAAAACCGGAGTGAATCTTCTATTTGGAGTTTATCGACTTCATGAAAGAAGGCTCCACAAGGATGGAGACAAAAAATTTAGAGAGAAATACAGTAGCATCAAACCATTCAAACGAGAAAAAAGTTATAAAAAGAGGACGCCGCTCTATCGAATCCAGTTGACTCAACAATGTAGTGCTCGAATACCATAAACTCCTGCGTGATAAATGCCATTAAATTTTCTTATTTTGACGCAATAGAAAAGACCAAGTATCAATGGCGTGAGAAGTGTATATAGGGACTAGGATGTTTTATTAATCAAAAAAATTAAATCCACTATGCTTCAGAAGCTAATTAAAATGTGAGATTCCTGCAAGTATAATTTACAAAAGGAAAAGAAAATAAACACCCAGATTTTATGAAAACAAAGTAATACAAGATAAATGTATAAAACTTAAAATATTCCCAAGTCTGAAGCGAATTCATACCTGAATGGTATTATGAGCAATATACCTTTGCCGACTTTTCTGAAAACTAACATCCACACGCTCCCAAGGTACTTGTGTGAGACCTTGAATCATTGACTCTGCATTCAGCAGACGATATTTCTATTTTCTAATCAAAATTCCACAATTACATATATGACGTTGAAGCAAAATCGACATGCCATAATCAGAAGCATATGCTATAATGACAATTTAATATTGCAAAAATTAGCTTATCTATGTTCCGAAAAAAGAACAAATTGAAAGCACTAAAATTCCATATAAATACCAACCTTCCTGTAAAGATAAATTAACTGCAATGACATCATTACGCATAAATGTATAAGAACAGATACAAGCTACTATTACCTTCCAAGTCGTACTTCTGAGCTAGAACATCAGACGATGCTTCTTCCAAAGCATTCTTGTTATCTCCTTTGTCAACATGGACAATATGCGGATAGTTTTCATCTTCTACAAGAAGATGATACTGACAGCATAACAAGAAAGGAGGATGCATAAAGGGAAACGCAATATAGTAGACATTCACATAAATCAGAAGATTTTAAACAATAAATACTTTTGGTAACTCCTGTTGACGCCTGATAGAGGATGTTCGCCATCCTACCATATCTTTTTGATCCATTAATGCAACAATATAAGTTAAATGATTGACATCCACTATATATAAAACTAGTGAAGACGAAAGCAAAATTATGGAAAAGGATACGATCATAATTTGCATTAGCATAGGCAACCCGGCGTCTAAAAGAGCGTAGAGCTGACCTGCGTCAAAAATTAAATGAAAAGTTACCCACTTTTAGTTGATATTGAGGATCAAGAATTTTCTCTAAAGTTGTGAATTCCAGAACAAACACTTCCCAATAAAGACTCATAAGGCATACATAAACTTAATATCTTCACCATCATCAACCATGCGAAGCAGAAGAGGAGGCCTTCCATCATCATCGGTAAGAAAAAGATGCTTCCCAGTTCTTCCAACAATCAAATGTGCAGCTTCAGATGCTCTTTGTTCCAAAAAGGGAAGCCCGCATAGGAAAGGAAGCTGAAAAAAAAAGTCATTAAAGCAAAAAAATAGAAATGAAAGAATAATCCAAAGAATGTGGCCATTAAATCAAAGTAAAATGTAGAAGGGGGAAATTATTGAGGAAGTTAAATATCTTAAAACAGGATCAGAACTCAAGATATTTCATCAGCTACTTCTAAAGAACTTAGATATGTGGAGATAGATGATACTGGTGATCAAGAAGATGGAGAAAGAAGTGGTGCTCAATCAGAAGGAGCACTAGAAGTTCGTCAATCACCTGTTACAGAAGTCAGAAGATCCAGCAAATTGAAACAACCCATAAAAAAGTATGCTTCTTCTTTACACTTTGTTGCTAACTGATAGTGGTAAATCAGAGTGCTTTTAGGATGTCACTCAAGTTGAAGATTCAAGGAAAAAAGAGATTGTTATGAATGAAGAAATGGAATATTTAGAGTCAAATCAAACTTGGGATTTGATGGTACTACCAAATGGCAAAATAGCGTTGAATAACAAATGGGTCTACAGGTTGTAATAGAAAACAGATGTTAGCAAATGCTATAAGGCAAGACTTGTTGTGAACAGTTTTCAGCAGAGGGAAAAAGTGAATTACTCAAAAATCTTCTCCCCATTGGTGAAGATGACGACTGTCAAGGTTGTGATTAATCAGGTAGCAAAAGAAGATCTACATCTTGAACAGATGGACATAAAAACAATTTTCTTACATGGATATCTGAAGGAACTATATATGGTGCAACCACAAGAAGAATGTTTGGTCTGCAGATTGGAGAAGAGTCTCTATGGCTTGAAGCAGACCCCAGACAGAGGTAGAGGTTTGACAGGTTCATGTCAGATAATGGATACATGAAGTGTTAGACAGACCGTTGTTGCTTCATCAAACATTTCGGTAACTGTTATATTTTGTTTCTTTTCTATGTGGAAGACATGTTGATTGCAATGACAGATATGAAGAAAATCGGAGACTTGAAGAAACAGTTATCAAGTGAGTTCGAGAAGAAAAACTTAGTTCCAACCAAAAAGAATCTCGGGATGAGAATCAGTAGGGACAGGAGTGTAGGAAAATTGAAATTGTCTCAAGCAGAGTGTTGAGAAAATCTTACAGAGGCTCAACATGAGTGAGGCGAAACCAGATAGCACCTTCTTAGGTAGTCACTTCAGACTATCTAAGGAGCTATTATCTAACTCTGAAGCAGAGCAAGCATAGATTAAGAGAAATTTGTTTTTTTCAGCAGTTGGAAGTTTGATGTATGCGATGATTTGTACCATATCAGATATTACATATGCAGTGGGAGTTGTCAGTAGGTACATAGAAAATCCATGCAGGCATCATTGGGAGGTGGTAAAGTGGATTCTCAGGTATTTGTGAAGAATAATTAACAGACACTTTGGTATGGAGGTGTGAGATCAGTTAACAGGGTTTTGTAGATTCAGATCTGGCAGGAGATGTGGACAGTAGGAGAAGTACAACGGTATATATCTTTACATTGGGGAACACAGCGACTTTGGTATGGAGGTGTGAGATCAGTTAACAGGGTCTTGTAGATTCAGATCTGGCAGGAGAAGTGGACAGTAGGAGAAGTACAACGGTATATATCTTCACATTGGGGAACACAGCAATGAGTTGGATTTTCAGGTTGCAGAAGATTATTGCACTTTCAAGTATAAAGGTCGAATATGTCGCTATCCTCGATGCTTGTAAGAAGATGATTTAGCTACAAAATTTCATGGCAGAATTGGGCAAGGAGCAAGGAATCAGAAAACTCTACAGTGACAATATGAGTGCAATTCATTTTGCTAAAAATACTGATTTTCATGTCAGGACGAAACACAGCTAGCTCAGGTATCATCTCATTCGCTCCCTTCTTGAACATGGGTAGTTGTTCCAGGATAAGATACATATAGCTCAGAATTCTGCGGATATGTTGATGAAGGTTGTGACTATCCATAAACTGAAGCTACGTTCGGCTTCAGTTGGGTTTTATGGAGGTTGAGACCGGGGGTGAGCCACACCACATTACATGACTATGAAGGCGATTCAAATGGAGATGGAGGTACAAAGAACTAGTGCTTGGCACTTTTGTCTCAAAGCAGGAGATAATTACGATGTGTAGAGACAAAACAGAGAGCCGGCGCATATGCGCCAGCTATGGGCTCTCAAACGCCCACTGAGCGCAGCTCACTGTGAAGCCTACGCTTAGGTGCCTGCTTTGAGCGCATATGCGCCCACATTCAAAGGGACCTGCTATTGACGCCTAGGCGCCCATTATTGAGCGTTGAATAGAGGGCTTTGTGCTTAGGCGCCCAAGACTGGGCGCCTAATCTCCTGGGGCAGTATTTATTGAGATTTCTTTTTAATCTCGATTTTGAGCAGTTTTTAATGGCGTTTTGAGTATCTTCCTTCGATATTCTTAAACAAGCATCCAAGCGAATGTGAGATTTGAAGAGGTGAATTTTGGTGATTCGGCGTGATGTTTACGTCAGATGGTAAGCAGAAGATTGTGGAGCGAGTCCTGTAAGTTTTTTTTGTGTGTAAAGAGAAAACGTGTGTGAGTTCTTTATAAAACATTTGAAATTTCATAGTAGAAATTTCTGATGATGTGGCTCTGTGGTTTTTTCCCGTTCTCGGGTTTTTCCACGTAAATTTGTATGTTCTTTCCGGTTTCTTTGATTGTACTTCTATTTTAATTTTTTGTTCCGATTTTTATCAAAATAGTGTGATCTTGTTATTCTGCGATGTAGTTTAGTTTTTGATTGATCCTGAGCCCTGACAAAGTTGGGAATTGTTCGTTGGAGATTTCCTATCAGAAGTGAACCACCCAGGAGGATGAACCAAAAGAGAACAAACAAAGGAACTCAGGGCCACAACATTAGCCCCAAAACTCAAGGGTCACTCGCCTATTTACTTCACTGATGAAGATCTGCCGTCGAAGGGAAATCCTTATAATGATGTTATGGTGATAACAATTGTAATTAATAATTATCAAGTAGATAGTATCCTCATTGATACGGGAAGCTCGGTGAATGTGCTATTCAAGTAAGTGATCGAAAAGCTAAGTTTAGTGTACGCCGCCGAAATCTCTAGTGTACCAATTGATGTGGCTTTCCATAGATTGAATGTCGATGTGTCGACTCAGCCTGTGAATCAGAAAATTGAAGCTCGGTCATGACGCTGGCGGGACCCATCCGGGTGGAGGTGCAAAGGTTAGATAAAGTAGGGTACATTCAAGAAGTACAATACCCCACATGGATCTTTAATGTGGTGATAGTGCAAAAGGCCAATAAAAAATGGAGGATGTGCATGGACTTTACCAACCTAAATTCAGTCTGCCCAAAAGACATCTATCCACTACCAAGAATTGATATTCTGATGGACTCAGCGGTCGGCCACCTGGTCTTAAGCTTCCTTGACGCATTCTCGTGGTATCATCAGATCAAAATGCATCCTGCAAATGTGAAAATTACTTCTTTTATTACTTGTGAGGGAGCATATTGCTAAAATGTAATACCCTTCGGACTCAAGAATGAGAGGGTGACTTACCAACGCCTCATAGATGTAATTTTTGCTAATAAAAAATGAAAGAACATTAAGATGTATGTCGATGATGTGCTAGTTAAGAGTCGGTCGGCCACGCAACATATTGAAGATTTAAAAGAAACTTTTCAAACACTTATAAAATTTACATGAAATTAAACCCGCTGAAATTCGACGAGCAAATTTCTTGGGTAGCTACAAATCCCCAAAGACATAAAAGCTAACCCAGAAAAGATTTAAGCACTCGTTGATATGCCATCCCCTAGAAGTACCAAAGAAATTCAAAAGCTGATCGGTCGAATCGTAGGGTTGAGCAGCTTCATCTCCAAGTCAAGAGACAAGTGCGCTCCATTCTTCAAAGTACTGAGAAAAGTCAGATGTTTCAAGTGGACACTCGAATGCAAGGAAGCCTTCAAAAACCTCAAGCAATTCCTCGCCTCTCCCCCTCTTCTTCAGAGCTCGAAATCAAAGAAAAAACTTTACCTTTACTTAGCCCCGAAGCCATTAGTTCGGTCCTCATTAGAGAAGAACTCGAAAAACAACACCCAGTCTGCTACATTAGTCGGGCCCTCAAAGATGTAGAACTCAGATATCCGATAATGGAGAAACTGACATTCACCCTGGTTACTTCAGCACGAAGGCTCTGACTGTACTTCTGAATACATCCCGTAAAAGTCATCATAGACCACCCTCTAAAACCTTTCCTTACTCAACCGAAGCATTCCAGTTGACTGCTCAAGTGGGTCGTGGAACTCAGCAAATTTGATATCTCTTACATCCCACGGACGGCGATAAAGGCACAAACTGATGTTGATTTCCTAGCAAAAGTCTCCTAGCCACGAGATGAGAAGGAAGAATTGACGATTGATGAAGTTGTTTGGACCATGTTCACGAGTGGAGCCTCCAGCCAATCTGGCGCTGGACTTGGAGTTTCCCTGTGCTGTTCAACAAGGGAAAATATCTATCACTCAATCTACGTAAATTTTCCAGTAACCAACAACCAGGCAGAACATAAAGCTTTGATTGCAGGTCTTCGTTTGGCCTCAAAAATGGGAGTCCTCTACATACTCGTAAAAGCCGACTCATGACTAATTGTGAACCAAATCAATGGAGAATTTGAATCAAAAGATGTGACGATGCCAAAACACCTAAGGAAGGTGAAGATGGAGATCTGCCGATAATTTGGGAGAGAAGACCTTGATAGCAAAACAGATTTAGAAAAATATTTAACTGAAGATTCTAAAACTATGCAAGAGGGTTTTGATATTTTGACATAGTGGAATGTTAATGCACCCGGATTTCCAATCCTCTCTCAAATGGCTAGAGATGTCCTAGCGGTTTCAATATCTGACATATGAATCTACATTTAGCACGAGTGGTCATGTTCTTGATGTTTTTAGGAGTTCATTATCTCGCAAAATTGTGCAAGTTCTAGTTTGCACTCAAGATTGGATGAGAGCAAAATGGA